TTCAAATAATTCCAATTCAAGGCAATCAAAACAATTACATGTAGTTCACGGGACACTGAAGCTGTTTGTTATGCAATTTGAGATGTAAATACTGAACAAAGAGCAGTTGTACTAACTGATKATTAAATCCTGACATGAGAAATTTCTACGTGAAAAAAATCTGAGACCTAAACACTCAAGATTTACTCATCCATCAGTTCATACCAATGAGTTTTGCAGCCAAGTGAAATGTCTTTAGGCATCTTATTTTTGTGAAGCAAAGTTATTGGCACGGTTTTGCAATTTGTATGGACTGACACTGTACTGCTAAATAAGATGAGTTCAAGAGGCTTTATCAGAAGAGGTTTTTTTTCTTCTATTGTCAGAAAATCATATTAATAAAACTTAATAGGAAGTTGAAAGTAAAATTGCAGCAAACTGTGAACTTAATATTACCCTTGTGGGAGCTCATTAATATCTCAACAGGTATACTCATGCATTATCTTAATTGCACATGATCCTTAGGGAAATTGCCTTTTCTGAAGTTTTCTGACAACTGTCCTTTGGTGAGTGGGTTCAGGTGCACCAGTTTATTAATCCTTTAATAGGTTACCAGGAACCATAGCGCAACTCCATTGCATTTAAATAGCAGGCAGTAGTAATTATTTAAGTGGTTCCAGTGACTTGGCAGGTCCTCTGCAGAGCAAGGGCAGTTGCAGCAGAACTTGGGACCAGGTGGGATGCAGGCACAGAGGCCAGGGAGCTGGTGCTTGCCAGAGCTGCAGCAGCCTCCGGGGCGACCTGCTGAGGAGGAGGAGGGTCAAATGAACACCRAGACTGTCGGGATAAGGAGACGGCACCCAGGGAGTCAGTATTGGAACGAGTGCTGTAAGACAGAGCTGCGCTGTCTGTATCAACAGTAGATGGAGATGTCCAGGTGCCAGTGTAGGCAAAGCACAGGTAGACCAATACCTGCTCACCTGCATGGTGTCTGCTGTGCTGAAAGATTAATTATTGGTATATTCAACATGGACATATATGGGGAAAAAGGCGGATAATGTAAARATTTTCCCCTAGTTCAGCACCCTCCTTCTTGCCCACCTCTTTTCCCCCCTAAAAAGTCCCCAAACCACCTCATCAGGTTTGTCGTTCAGTTGTCAGTTGGCTTCACTCTGAATTTTCTAGTTCTAGACCTGCTGTTGGAAGATGTTTCATGTGGCTTAGCAGACCATCAGAAACACTTTCTGTTGTGCCTGCTTGCAAGACAGACCCAGAGTCTCTAGCAAGTGGACCAAGTGCAGCAAGGGGATCCAAAGAGAGCCTTCCATTAACAGAAGAAAATGAAGTAAATGAAGAATAATGTTCAACGTTAAAAATAAATTAACACTAATTAATCCCTGACAAATGCAATGTTCCCATTAATCATTCACTCTTAGGGTAATCAGAACATCAGCTAGGCAAGCAGCATGCAGAGCTCTTGAATGTGATGTTTGCCATAATCTTGTAAACAAAACGACCACATTTGAGAAAACCCACCTCTCGCAGTCCTGGGCTACGTAGTCATTTCCTGAAGCAGAGGCTCCCAGCAAACCCCCCTCATGCTGCTGTGTCTCGTTGCGCTGCCGAAGGCTCCCACATCTGCCCACATCTTCCTGCWCCCCGGGGACAGGTGCAGGGATGGCCCCGGCGCGGGCAGCCGAGCGTGGGCGCAGGGAGCCCCCGGCTCTGCTGTGTGGYGCGCGGCAGCGGGGTTTATTCCCTGAGCTTTAGGGATCACATCTCTCCTGCCAAAATGGCTGAGCCTTGTGGAAAGTGGAATATAATTCCCTAAAGCTCTGATGCTTCAAACGTGTCTTGGAGTAGAAAATAGAAAAATGTGATGGAAAAAATGATGGAAGAGAATGCTTGCTGCTTTAAACTTAAAAGTTTTGAACAGGAGATGAACAGGCTATATTGACGTGTAAGAAAAATAATTTATAAAAAATAGCTGGTTAATTTTTAAAAATACATATTTAGTGCTGTGATGAAGCTTTCTCCATAACAAATCTATTCAAATTTAACTTTTTTTTTTTTGAAAATTGAATTTTGTCATTAGCGTGAAACTCGTGAAATTATGAGGGTAAGACTTAGAGGCACTTTAAATTATGCTTCAAAATACTGCAAAATATTTTATGTAGGGGAAAGAAAAAAGGGTTAAAAGGAGCTAAAAGGAGTCCTTTTATTTTCCACAACTAAGGCATTTAAGCCCTGCTTTCATGAGTCCTGAGTGGGGTYTAACCTGTCCGCCCTGCCTGCTGAGGCTCTCTTGTGTTTTACTGTCTGGACTCACAGGAGCCCAAGGCGCGTGTTGGGGAGCGACAGTYACCAGGCCACAACAGGACGCGTTGTCTCTCCGTTGTTAGTCTGATTAAGAGTTAACATGAGGTTGTGTTTTTCAAACTAAAGTCACCCTGTAAAACAGCACAATACCCAAGAGGAATATATGGTGCAAAGTACGGGAGAACAGTTTCCATTCAAGTCCAAGTTTCTCCTGATATCCAAATAACCCCCTACTGCAGTTCTCTTCTTCGYACGTATCACTTCACATTGTTTTTAGAACTGTAACTGAACTGTAAGAAAGCAAAAAGAGTGACAAAAGCCCTTTTATTGCTGCAAGCAACTGTGACAACTAAAAGTGTTTTTTGTCCACAGGAAGAGAGGCTTAAAAACCCAGAAGTCTCCTAAGTAATAGAAATACTGGAGCAAGTTCCATAGACGGTTTGGTTTTTGTAGAGCTGCAGAATATGCTCCTTTTGATTTCTACCTAAAAAGGCAGTTGTTGGTGCTGAGGAATGTAAACAGTCATTTGCAGATAAAATGCATTTTATATCTCCTATTTATAATTTAAAAATCCCAGCACACTGCTCTCTCCGTATGGTTCAGTATGTGGGGCTGTAAGTTGTGTACTGGATGCTTGGCTAATTAATAGCACCCATAACGTCAGCCTGATTAACTGTTCTGCTTAATATAATGCCATCAAATGAATAGACAAATTAAGCTGATAAGCAACTGAGCAAGCTCTTTTAACTGCATTTTACAAATGGGAAGAGAGCTATCCTAAAATGTCAGCAATTATTTATTAAACAGTTATTGTAGGCACAGACAAATTAGGAATTTCAATTATTTTTGAAGGACACCATGTAATAGTGGTCAACATCCTGCTGTGTTCTTTCTGCCAGCCTGAATTTTAACTATTTAAATTTTCTGTGACTGTAACAGTGCAAGGTCTTGCTGGCAACATGCTGTCCACAAGCCACAGATCTAAAACAAATCTGGCAAGGCTTTGTAGATGACTGCTGTCTTACATTCAAAGCCTGCAGCATCCCAGCTTTCTGCATGATTAGCCATGTCTTTTTGACATTAGTCTTTTAAAACATGAGATGAAGCTGCCAAATGAGTGACACAACACGTCCGAAAGAAAGGCTGTTCCAAGTAGTGGCGGATTCAGTGCTCTAACATACGTAATGACAGCCTTAACACCAGCTAAAATTTAAGCGTTTATTTCAGTTTAATAATTCATAGCAGCTAAAAGTGATGCTGCGCCAGGGACCTGATTCAGCAGTCGCGGAGAGCAGGGATCCCACTGGCGCGGGAGGATTTTGATCGAGGGCCATAAACCGTGTTTGGCTCTGGGCCATGTTGGATGAGGCTAAACAGATCTTAAATAAGTCATGTACTTTGCTGTGGTTTATAATAGAAGAGTGAATATTACTTTTAAAGATAGGAACATTTCTCAGCATTTTTCAGGGATGTTTACTAATTTTGTATGCTTTAGGTAAGTTCAGTTATCTGCTGGTTCTTCAGGCTCAATTTTGCTTCTACCTATCCACTTTCYTTGTGCTGTAGGACTTGTTGATGGGGACAGCCTGTGTTCTCGGGAAATGCTGCACTTGCTGTCCTGTGCTTCTGACCTCCGTGGGGATGGAGGTGCTGAGCTCTTTGTGACGTTGAGCCTAGAGGAACACATGAGAAGACTGGAATACTAATAAATGCTATTAGAGCTAATAAATACTTGTAGAATTGCCATGCAAAGATACAATATTAAAGATGCCTCTGTCAAGGCATTGAAATACTGACCTTTCCACAATCTATATCATTCAAAATATATTATCATGCTTACAGATTTTGAAAATCCTTTCTCATCTTCCTTGGCATTTTAAGAGAGAATTATAGAAGGCTCCTTAAATTAAGGAACAGTGGGAACAGTTCCAGACTGTTGCGCAAAAATTGCTCAATGTATTTTAGTATTAAGGAGATGATAACTGATGGAGGGCCTTGGTTATCAAGGAGAAAAGAACCCGAAACACTATTCCAGCAGTATTCTAAAAATATTCATAACAGTCTCATCATAGTTTGAAAAAGCAATAGTTGGTTTGTTATGGCGGGATATGGGTTTAGGATGGAGCCATCTGATGCTCTCAGTCATCTGGTTGTATTTTTTCCAAGCTCAGCGATATTCATTGCTCATCTTCAGAAAGAATCAAAAATAAATATTCTTTTTATTTATTTGTTTGTTTGTTTATTTATTTCTTTTAAACCTGGAGTTAAAAAATAAGGTTTAAGAACTTTCTCAAGGAACTGATAAAAGCTCTGTGTGTCACTTGTGAGGACAGGGTAGATTCCATCTCTATTGAATTCCCGGATGACTGATGCCAATCAAACCAGGAAACCGATGAAAAGGACTTAGCAAGAAAAATCATGGTTTGTATTGGGTGTTTGCGATTAAGATTGCCTGCAAGTTGTACAATATGTGAAGTTGTTTTAAACTGACTGATGACTTTTTGTATAAATTTCCACTTGAGATCACTGAAAAGATCGTTCCTTTGACTTGTATGTTGTAAAGGAACATGATAGAGAACCACAGATGGGTACAAGGCAGAGGAGTGAGATTCAGCTGAAGCTAACCGCTTTAGCTAGCTGYTGCAAGAAGTACAATGAGTATATGAATATGTATATTTATCAGAAATTATTTTTTTCTACAGATCCCACAAATCAGTTATGCCTCAACTGCACCAGAGTTGAGTGATGACAGGCGCTATGATTTCTTCTCACGTGTGGTTCCTCCAGATTCCTTCCAAGCGCAAGCAATGGTGGACATTGTAAAAGCTTTGGGCTGGAATTATGTATCCACTTTGGCATCTGAAGGGAATTATGGAGAAAAAGGAGTCGAGTCCTTCATGCAAATTTCCAGAGAGGCAGGTAGGCAACGCCCACCCTTCCTCCAGAAAATGCTGTTTTCTTGTTCCAACGGTTATATTATCTTTCTAGATGGTATATGATTATAAGAGTGCTCCAGTTCATTATAGTTCCTTTGTAATGGTTCCTGGACATTCATGCCTAAACTGCTTATGGAGTTTGAGAGAGCTTGCAACTTTAGTGACTTTTAGTCATTTCTGGAGAAAATAGAAAATGCTGAGTCTTACCAAACTTGTGGTATTCCGCTGAACAGGATTGTGTTATGTTGACATGGATAGGGGTCAGATTTTAAAATACTATTTTTCCACAGCTAGAGATTCTTTGAAGATACCTTGGATTACACATTGGCTTGTGTTATACTACTGATGTTCAACTTTCAAGTTGCTGCCTGATTTTATATATTTTTTTCAGTGTTTCTGTTGGCCAATTCAGTTGAGAAAATTCATACCCTTTTACTTGAAGGCTCTGAGATAATAAGCAAACAAGTTCAGTCGCAAAGATATACTTGGCAGTATGGTGTGAGGCCTATCAGCTGCTTGGTGCAAGATGACTGACTTTTTTTTTCTCTTTACTTAAATATTTTATTTAGCGGTATTGCAGAAAGGATGAACATGAAAAATTAATATTTTCAGTGTCAGGTGATCTTGCTCATCTGTTAGTGATGTTCCTGACACACAGGGAAATGCAACGACTTACATTGGGTCAGGCTTGGCCACTGAACCATCACAAGTGATCTGACAGAAGTCCCTAATTCCGCAGTTTGTTTTCCTGTGGCGGTAGGAAGCAGAGCAGCTTGCCTGAGAGGTGTGGCTGCCTCGTCAGGGTTGCATAACAGTCCCCGCTGCACAGTCATATCCTTGTGCTGCTAACTTACTCTTCAGGGTAAAGTAGCTCTAAATTTCCCTGGAGACACTAGAACGTAGGAGGACTTCAGATGGCACTTCAGGGAATACAGATATAAACCCATGACAAGCTAATTTGCAATCCAGAATCATTAAGGTTTGTAAATTGAAATATTTGAAATTGATTCTTTTGCTAGCGAGGAAAAATAATCAGAAGATGTCACTCATCCAAGCCTATCTCCATAAATGCACAATATATCCTGACATGTTACAGCGAATCATGAACACATCATTTTATAAGAATAAGCTCTCTTGTGTTCTGCAAATGGAATTCATGGATCTAACAGCCTGTAGCTGTCCTGGCATTATATTGAATGTAAATGGTGTAACTCAAACTATAATTCACTTAGTAAATTACACAATTCASTAGCCAAATTAATAAGTGCCTCTCAGAATCAGAACTCGAATGGGACAGACATTTCTTTGAAGCAGCCATGTGAGGTTTCCCTTTCGTCCGGTCCCGCGGGGTACGCGGTGCTCGTGCAAGTTGTCTGCGTGTTCAGCAAGGAGGCGCCTGTCGGCTTGTTCCCAAACTGCCACGGGAAGCTGCCTCTGTCCTGTTTGTCGGCATAAGCCAAGAAGTGACAACAGAGGATAGTCGTGCTTCAAGCGAGGAGCTTTAGGAAGGAAAATCTGGATTGTTTCATTATGTTGATATTACAGAAGGAACCTATATTTGCATAATTTTTTCTGTTCGTTTGAATGCATATTTATGTGGTATTAAAGAAAATGCTTTTGGATTTAATACCACAGGAAGTGACAAAATGCCAGCATTCATTATAATTTTAAATTAGCTTTATTTGCAAATATCCACTGTTGCAAAATGATACAAGATGTTCACATGTCAAGGACAAATTCTACTGACATAATCCTGCATCATTTTAAAACTTTCTCTAGAACTACATGAGTGGCACTTCTGTATGTAGTCAACATAAATGCAAAGAAGCTCATGGAAGAGGGCACAGCTGGTGAGTGTGCCATGCTGCATGATGTGTCTCTTGTGTCACGGAGAGCTGGGCGTGCTCTGGGTGACAGCTGGGAGCTGCTGTGACGTGATTTCCCAGAGCATTGGCAGTAGGAAGCGTACAGTAATACTGGGGTGGCCTCTTGACCYTGTGTCACCGCAGGGTGCGCGGGAGACCAGGTCACCCCTCCGAGGGGCACTACCCGCAGTGTATTTTATTTGGGTATTTGATTAATGAGACTGTTAGGTGGTTACTGCAGTCGCGGAGTCTGTAGGAACCTTCTAGAGAAGCCAGAAACAGCTGTAAATTTGGGGGCTCGTAGCTGTGGCAAAGCTTATAGCTTTGATCTGCCAATTTAAAAACTATATTGGAGCGGTCAAGAGCAGTCTGTGTCATCACTGGTAAAAGGAGAGAAGGCTTTTACTGTGGGCAATGCACTTGAAGTGTTGAGCGTATTTAATGGGGCCAAATATACGTGGCCTGACTGAGGTGTGTAATATAAAAACATCTTCACAAAAGCAGCTGCACGTGGCAGCGTATGTTGTGCTGTCCTCATAACACAGTGACCTCGAGGGAGCGGAGGGAGGTCGCGGCCCCRATGCTGTGACCGTGCGAGGGGCTGGACGCTGCACTCTGGCCCCGGCTCCAATCCGTTGGGAAGCGCGTACACACACGCACAGTGCAAGGAAGTGTTTCCCTAGTCAAATATACCATTTTTTTTCTCTGAAAATTARTGAGGTTGGAAGGATTATCTCTTTTCTAACTTACAAGGCATACCCAGGGTATTCTGTAGTGAACTGGAGAAAATGGAAGATAGAAGAATTACTTAATAAAAATATAGAGCTTACTCCATTTTCCAGTGAGCTAAAGCATTCAGTATTCATCAAGAGCACTTGTGTTACGTTTAAAGAGTTGTCCATTTAGATTTTGTGATTTGGTCCTGGGCACAAGTTGCCTGCTGCGTGTGCTGAAACAGGTGCCTGCTCAGATCAGATGTCAGCCCAGAAAGGCTRCGGTTAGAAACAGAAAAGTCTCTTTGCAGAAACCAATGTGTACGTGCAGACACATTGATAGTTCATGTACTCATGAACTCAGGAGCCCAGTATGCAAATAAATAGTCCAAAAGTCGTGACAGAAAAATCTCTGTAGCCWGGTGAAAATATGTGAACGAGGCGTGTAGAGCAGAGCTCTTGCTTTGTGTTTAGCCATGTCTCCTTCCTCTTTGTGCTGCCCAGGTAGTGACAGGAAGGTACAACCTGCTKTTGGAGAGTTTTCCTGGCTGTACACGTTTCATAACTCACACGCCGCCTGCCCCAGGTGCCCTCCTTTTAACTAGCAGAAGAATCAAGTTGAGGAAGAGACCGGGGAGGGATGTCAAAGCAGAGGTCGTTAGGCTACTTCTTAAATACGCTGTCCTTGAGGATTTACTGCCGGGAACAGGAACAAGCCTGGAGCGGAGTAATTAGTCAAAGTTTGGCCATACTGGAAATAAGCAGTCATCATTAGCTCTCGGACGCTTGCCCTGTGTCTTGTAATCAGTGTATTTTGGCAGAAAAGAAGATTTAGTCCATAGGTACTAGCACATTGATCATCTTTGGCCTCAAATCTGTAGCAAGCTAATTATCCCAAAGTCCATGTTTTATCCAGATTTATTTCTGTTTAAGCCCTGATCTTAGGAATTGTAAGGGTGAGTAGAAAAAGATATCCATGCTTAGCTTTTAAGTATACTTCTAGTTTATAAAGACTTTGCCTGATCCTTTGAGTTAATAATTCTTCACAAAGTGACTTTTATTATGAGTACTTCAAGCTAGTTTGAATATGTCATTGTAACGGGAGATGAAGACTTGAAACATGCTCTGCAGTCTGGGATTAATAAATTAGGAGAATGTTCTAATTATGGAATATCTGAAGGACAATTTCAGATTATTAATGAAACTACTGAATGCTTGAATTTCAAAGATGACTTCATCTTTGATTTTTTTAAGAGATTAATCTGTACCAGAAGGTTAATTGCTGTCTGTAAGAAATATATATATTCAAGTCATTAGTGAAAGACCACTTAGATGCTTCCTAACAGACAGATGAAAGATCCAGCATGCATTTATTCATCTTTTTCTCTCCCCAAACTGCGCAGTTTCACAGATAAGCACAGTGGCTGCTTTTCAGCTTGTGCAGACTTGCTTAGGCAACAGGCTGCAGTACAATGTAGGAAACTGCCAAGATCTGCTCCTCTTATTTTCACCTCTGCCTTCTGCTTTCCACCTCTCTTTTGTCTAAAATGCCACCTCATGAGTAAGTCTTTGCCTTTGGCAAGGCTGATCTTGAGCAGAGTTGTGTTTGCTTGCACAAACTAACCCCACTCTCTTGCAGGGAGTAGTGTCTGCGCCAGGCTTTGCTCCCGTTAGATAGTATCATAAGCTGCAAACTAGGATTATTCTAGACGATGTTTTTCTCAACCCTTTGGAAGGACTGCAGATAAAAATTACAGAAAAGTATGTCGTCTTTGTGCATTAGATAAAAACATGGGAAAAAGGATTTAAATTCTTCTTGTACCAGTGTGCTGATAGGATTATTGTATCTGCTGAAATTTCTACTAAAGACTTTTAGTTGTGGTGTCACATTTGTTAAAAGGTTACCATCACCTTGATGGAATGAGAAAGCAGAATAAACTTTAATCCACTTGAACATAGGAGGCACAACACTTGCAACAGTCTCTTTATCTTCTTTGCCTTTTTTTTTTCCCCTCAGGTAATACATCCCTACAAAAAATACTTTTTTTGCTAGACCCATTTCTTTAATTCTTCTTCTTTTATGAATTTAAAGTGCTGTGTAGAGGTCTGCTAAGTAAGCTTCAAACCAGCTGTCTTCAGCTAGCAGGGCCTAGTGCTGCAAACTGCARGGGCTGGAGCTGTTGCTGTTCAGAGGGAGGAGACGCTCACCTGAGAGCTGTCCATTGCTCTTTCTTTACCCATTGCTGGAYGAAGAAGGAATCTGAAAGTTTGAATCCTGCTGCCAGCAATGATACTGAACAAGTATTTCTGCCCTGTCCTTTAGCTTAAGCTTGAATTTCTTTTTAAACTTGTTTCCAGCTTTGTATTTTCCAGTAAAAGAACATCTGTACATACATGCATGCACG